AGAAAGAAGGAAAGGAAGAAACAGATCTGGGAGAGTTCTAATATGCACCGCGAAGGGGAATAGAGTCATAAATCCTATCAATTATTTATTCATTGACTGGAAACTAATGACACACTCTCTTCATGTAATTTGATGTTTTAGGAGTGGAATGACCAAACTATACAAGGACTTATGTGATAACTAGTTATGAACAGTGGATGCAGACGAATGGCATGGCCTTCATTAGCAGCTACAAGTAGCATGTAATCCATGGCAAGATCGGTGGGCACGGCGGTAAAGGGTAAGAAAGCATGTAAGGAAAGAGTAAGTATTGGTACCGCAGCCCCATCATTACAAGTCATAATTATTGGACGTTTGCGTTTGGCATCCTGCACAGAGTTCGATTATGATGCAATCCCCATTCAATAATCTATACTAAATCCTTTCATAAAGCTGTAAAGTGTAAGATTACAAAAAAATACTGAAAGAATATTGCCAAATTCAACTTTCACATCGTTCTATAGGACCATACACGCACGGTGATGGTAAATCAGATTTAAATTTCACAGTAGTTGACTTAGTCTTGTGCTTGTAAAACTCAACGTGAGTATGTATTCTGAAAGTCAGGCATTAATGATACAATCTCAATCTCCTTCTGAGAATTCTTACTCCCAGTCTAAATGGCTCCCCAGCTCCCCAGATACTCCGCATATTAACTTTCCAACTCAGCCCAATCACCTCCCGCCCCCAAGTATGTATTATAAAAGTCAGGCATAATGATACAGTGTCAATCCCATTCCGAGACGCCTCCATCCCAGTCTCAATAGCTCCTCAAATATTTCCCATATCAACTTTCCATCTCAGATCCATACCCCCCTACCCCTCCACCCTTCTCTTCCCCCCATCTTTCCAACTCACAAAACGAATAGCCCCATAGCCCCAACTAAACCCAAAACGTAACAAACTCCCATCAAAGACAAGTTTATCTCCACATTTCTCTGTCCCAAGCTATCACTAAGGTTGTCCGATCCGGCTGCAGCTAGCGTTCAATTAGCAATTTTCTATCTGAAGGGTATAATGAAAATCTATTTCTCACCTGACTTCGGCGATGACTTAGCGTTTGTGGTTGGAATTGGAGTTGGCGACGGAGTGTTGGATGTGGTTGGAGCTGGAGCCGGAGCCGGGTTGGCTACAGATTCAACTGTATCAGCAGCTCCAACTATGTCTTTAGGTATGTCCAAGATGCCGCCAAAAAGTCCGCCCTGAGTGACAGTCATGAGCGAGAAAGTCACAAGGGTAAAGAGAACGATGAAGTTGTTAAGGCGAAGAGAAATCATGGTAGCGATAAAGGCAATCGTAGACGTATTGGTGGATTATTTCGGTTATTGAATTTCGATATTTCAATGTAAAAAGGAGTGTGCTTTTGGCAACGGTGTGTGGATAAATTTGTTTGAGCTTCTTTGATCTTTATTTGTAGAACTTGAAGTTGTGTTGTACAAGTAAAAGAGAAGAAGAAAAGAGGATTGGAAACGTTTCTCACTTGAGGTATAGGCGAAGACCTTTGAGTCATCCAACTAGTCATAATTAACCCATGCAAGAGTACCGCTTGGGCCTCGGAATGCAGTAGGGGTGATGTTCCGAAGATTGTAAAGTTAGAAATATCGATATCACAGAAATCTTCTTGATTATTTACCCAAAGATTTGGTCTCGTGGAAAATTCAACGTTTGGTTTATTTGCAACGATCCAAAAAGTCAGGCTTTAATCATACAAGTTCATTATCCTCCCTCGAACGAAGATAGAACAACTTCCTCGCTCAGCATCTCTTCAATTCAACCATCATTCACCAAAAACTTTGATCCGCTTAGAGAACCATTATTCCCATACCACCAAGAACCCCGAAAATAGAGAACACCGCCACCAACACCAAATCCGCATGTACACTTCTATCGCCCAGACCAGTAAATGTGTTCGGTGCCGTCTCATTACTCGTGGGTGCCGGTCTATTAGTTGAGATGGTCGTTGCTCTAGTACTTGGGGTTGATGTCTGTCCCTGAGTTGTGAAACTCGGTTGCTGAGTTGTCAAAGTCGGATCCTTAGTTGAAATCGATGTTGGTTTCTCACTTGAAGTCAAAATCGCCACCTGAGTTGAAGTCGATATCGATTCATTACAATTACACGAGCAAGATTTCGGTACATGCCGTATAGAAAAGGGAACATTACTCAAAGTCGGCAAATCAGTTCTCGACATCTCCGAAGAACAGAAACTTTCAGTTTGGCAGGATCCGTCGATATCCGATGGTAAGAAACAACATCCATCTGTTGATTGATATTAGTAATGATTTCATAGTATCGATGAGATATTGTAATTCTTACCGAAAAGTGCAACATACGTGCTAGATTCAACAACAGTGGAGACTGTGTATGTTGCAGTCGGAGCTGGGAGGAAGGTCAGGTCGCCGGGTGCTGGGAGTACAAATGAAATACTCTGGCTTGTTGAGTGTGAAGTTGTTTTTGCTTTGGTGATACTCAGGAGTGTCAGGGTGACAAGAGTGGAGAGGGTGGTGAAACTGTTAAGGCGTGGGAAGATCATGGTGATTTATTTGGATATTCGTGACACCGTAGAAGGTGGGCAATTAGTTTTGCTGTCAAATTTCGATATGGAAAGAACGATTTTGTTGTAACTGTGTGTGGATGATTTGGCAAAGTCTTTTGTAGTGTTTGGAAGTTGTTTTACAGACTACGAGAAACTAAAGAGATGGGGGTCATTCAGGGTGGTTGATCAGGCCAAAAGTGGGCTGATAGCTATCGGCCAACCTTCAATATTGAATTAGCTTATGAACAACATCTCGTTATCATTGATAATCAATCCGATATATGAATGGGTTATTAATCAATTTAAGTCCTATCACATATTATTTGAGGTAAAATCCAATGTATGTGTATTTGCAATGACTAAAAAAGCCAGGCTCTAATGATACAATTTCGTAATCCTCTTACGACTACCGAATTTTACATCAAGCTCTCCAAATCTCTGCACTACCACTTCTCTAACAAAAGAAATTGACATCTACTTATAAAAGCATGACTCCTATGCCCCCAAAAACTGCAAGAAGAGAAAATATCCCCACAAGCAATCCATCTGCCCGCGCACTTCTCTCCCCCGAGCCTTGCTTTGCAGTCGGTTTCGCTGTGGATGTAGCTTCAATCCCCGTTGTTTATGGTGCCCCCATTTCATATCACGTTTCCGTATGATATGCCGCAGCACACCCAGGCTTATCTTTGCAGGACTCGCAGGTATCCAAAGGTACAAAACAACACCCTTCTGCAAATGAATATTAGCAACGTCTTGATGTCGAGATGGAAATCTGATAGTTCTTGCCGAAAACTCCAGTATGTGTTGTATCCATCTTTGCAGTGGAAACCGTGTATGTTGCCGAAATGGCGGCTGGATTGGCTTGGAAACCACTGGGTGTCGGATATATGAATTCAGTGCTCACCCATGAACTCAACGTAGTTCAGCCGGCTATGGAGTCTCCTAAGGCAGTGTCAGGTTCACAGTGAGGATAAGGGCGAAGAGGGTAATGAGGTGATTGAAGTGTGTGGAAAACATTTCGAGTTTTTTGAGGGAAATGAGGATAATGCAGGTTGAATTTTGTTGTGGTGTGATATTATTGCTATGATGCTCCGACTGCATACTCAGATAATGCTTGGTCAACTAGTGCCCGTTGGTTGGTAGGTGTGCTTCCACAATCTCGGTGCTGGGTTATGTGATGGAGAAAAGTAAAGGACGAGGAGTTTGAGAAGTCTAACATGGCTCTTCAAAAATCAGCGCAATTATGTGTAGTCATACACTAGTGCCTTGAGGATAATGACATAACCTCGCAATTGTGCCCAAGTCGAATGGCCTAAAAATAGAAAGATGTGAAGGATATTCACAAAACGGGTTTCCAATTCAACACTATACATTGAAATAGCCTCCAAAAGATTCATTCATACAAATCATTAAAGTAAGAAATATTCAAAATAACCCATATACCAACGACATCACTGCCTACATCTGATTTTTCCGTCTCCTCCCACAGCTACTGCCTGGCATCATGCACCCCATTATCTTTCATCCCACCACGCAATTTCCAAATTCCTACTCCAAATCCGACACCCCAAAAAATCTTCCCATCACCCAAAATGAAACAACACAAACCTGAAGATTCCTCATCGGGATTATAACAAGCGAGTATTCCTGCAACATTGTATAAAGGAGTACTACCTACCCCTTTCGCTTAAATCACCCGACTCCTCATTACCTACATCATATTGCCGTCTTGCCTGTACACCGCGAGAACTCAACATACCTAGGCCTAAGAAGATCTCGAGCACCCAAAAAGCAAAAATTCGATTTCCATAAAGGGTGGCGAAATTTTTTTTTCGGGAATCATTTTTGATTATATTTCTTGTATGCATGTAATATTAATAATTGTATCAATCAAACTATTCAAAAAATCATCAAGAGGCCCCCTCCATCGGCCACCGTACCCAAGAGTGGGACGAAAAATCACATGAATGTGCATCTCCACCTAACCGCCAATCCAATCCAATCCACCTGACGCCCAGCCAGAGTTCTACGGCAACCCATTCCTCCTCCCATTCTCCCCCCATCCACCCTCTCAATCAAATATATACCTCAACCAACACACCCATCCATCAAAACAAGCACAAAAAAGCTTCATTGGTCCAATGGTTAGGATTCCACCCTTCCAAAGCCTTCTCGGCTACCGCTAGGTGGAGGTTCGTGTTCGATTCACGGATGTTGCAAATTCTTTTTGTTTTTTTTGTTTGGTTTTTTTCCCTTCTGATTGCGTTGTGTAGTGATGAAGAGGTTGTATTGATTGATGATGGTTTTTTTTGGATGAAGATTTTTACTTTGGGTCTTTGGCTGTATTACATAAGCGAAATATTGGGTGACCCAATCCTTCGCGCTTGGACCATTTCCATGGATGGTGTGGTGATTTGAAAAGCAGATTATATTTGTATCTACCGCTACACTATTGGACAGGACCACTAAGAGAAATAGATACTTGAATGATTACAAGAGAAACTGTTCACATAACACCCAAATGCAAATTTGGAACGCAACGACTTATTATTTTGACGAGGTAAACGAATATCCCAGGTTCAGTGAACCAATGTATGAAATCTCTTAAGCATAAAGCTCTAGAGTTGGAATAATGAGCTTGAAACCAGCGCAGATCCTTCCCCAACTGTTTCGATAATATCTGTGTTCTCCGGATCCGAGTCCAGCCAAGGGTGTGACTCGGTATCTGCATCCTCCCCATCTCTAAGTACATCCTCATGGCTAGCGATGTAATGAAGCGTCAGACGATCGACCTCGTGCTGCGTAACCGGTGCCTGCAGCTCTTCTCTGAAAACGGGCAACGGAAAATCCACTTCGTAAATTGTGACGGTCGGAATCTTGCACTTTCCTTCGGCCCTCTTTCGCTTCCGAAACCCTTCTTCCAGGAGGGCTTTGAATTCAGCCATGGTATGCAAACTCAGGCTGATAGGCTCTTCAGGGTCCCAATACTGATCATTGACAATGATCAACTCCTCCAATTTGCTCAGCGAGAAAATGGGATGATCTTTGATAATGGTGACTTTCCAAGCCTCACTTTTCATGAATACCTCAGGGTACATATTCACTATGGGCAACACCAAAGAGCGGATATTGTGAAACAAGTCGGGACATCTGTATATTGAAAATTTAAACGCACCCTTCCAGAGAGAACCTCGAATCTCGAGTTTTCGGTAATCGTCAGCAGTGAAGAACAGTGCGACTGAATCTAATTTTGGGTGGAAGAAAGCCGGGCTTTTCGCTTGATAGTGGTGGAGGGTTAGGAATCGGCTTTCTTGGTTCACGTATAGAGTGAGCGGGAATGGTGTGAGATTGTAGCCATCTATACAATAATTTTGGTAGTTAAGTGGTGGGGCGTCATAACCATAATCAATGTCGTGATATATAAAATTCAAGTCGATAGCTACAATCCTAGGTTGAAAGGTTGCCTCCCAGATACTCCATCGAATTTCCACCGGTAGCTTCGGGAATAGAGTAAAGGTTGATTCGGAGGGCTGTTCTTTGAAGGCTTGAACGGCTCGCTGTGTAAGGAAGTCTTGGCAGATCTCTCCTAGTTGCTTATTGGCAATCAGACGCTCTCCATGATCCCGTTCACCATTGCAGTGGCAGTCCATAACCTGTAATATTGGTAAGTAGTTGTAAGCTTGAAGTAAAGGAAAAAACATAAAGGTATTTCCTACTTTGATGGCTATACGATCCCGTTGATTATAGTGGTAGGGGCAGTTCTTGAACTATAATGTTGGTAAGCAGCGGTAAACTGGAACTAAAAGAAAAGGGGATAAAGACACGTACATCTTCCTCGTCTTTATGATCCACTTCACAAGTGTTGCAGTAGGACTTCATCATCTACAATAGTGGTAAGAAGCTGTCAGCTGAAAGTAAACTAAAGGGAGATAAAGGCACTTACTGGGCAGTCTTTTATACAATCCGGTCCACTATATTCGCAGGCGCACCCCATCATCTATAATACTGGTAAGCAGCTGTAAGCTGGAAGTAAAAGAAAAGCAGATGAAGGAACTTCGTACGTTGGTTGGGGTGTTTGTTGATAAAAAAATTTAATGTTGTAGCTTTGAAATTTTCTGTAGATGAGAAAGTATCGATATCCAGAGGAGTTGATGTGGAAGAACAAGAGGGAAAGAGAGAAGAGAGGAATCAATGACTTGGATGAGTTTTTCGAGAAGTTCGATTCCACGCCAGCGAACAGTCATCCACCCAAATTTATTCATTCCAATCATAATAATAAGGCTTCATGCCCAACTGAAACTTCTCAACGAACCAGGCCTGCCAATTAGTAAATCCTCCTAATTTCCAGTTATCATTTGCTCTCAATTCATATGCTTTCTTAAGCTGGTCCCGATACATTGGCATCCGAAATTGTCCATGAAATATCTTGATATTGGATGAACAACCAGAGACATCTTCAGTTCCTGGTCTGAGTAAATTGGTACTAAAGTGATTAAAATAAGTGGCAATATACCAAGGCCAAAGAGGCTGATGCCAGGTTGAAATAAGTATCAACTCTTTTAGATGAGAGTAAGCTGACGATGAATCGGTAAGGTATTTACAGTGTACCTGAGAAAAAATGGTGTAATGGCCTTTGAGATTGATTGGGATGACAATCAAGGATCGGATATCTCGTAATACAATTGCATTTGCGAGGAAATCGGCCCCCACTCCCAGGCCCGTGGGGTGGAAGTCGAAATTTCTTCCCATGCAGTAACTGGAAATATAAACCGCGAGTGTATCCAGCTCATAATTGAAGTAGACAGGATGCTTCAAGAAACCTGAAGATAGCGGCTTGTAATGTGCCAGTGTTTCCGCTCGACTTTCTCGATTGACTGACAAGGTTGGAGGTTGTGGCGTGCAGCTTTTGACGTAGATGACGGATTTTCCCCAAACCCCCTGGTTATCTCGCACCCAAGCAATTTCCATAAGAAGTCCTACATTTCGACCACGCCAGCTCATCCTCCATATTTCCAAACGCAGTTCGATGGGAAGTTTTGAAAATGATGGAAATCTTCTGGAAAATCGTCGAAATCTTCGTCCGTATTGATTTTTTAGTTCCATATCGTCCAACTGTAGAAGACAAGAGTCAATGGGAGGAGGTATTTTCTTGTGACTTGCTCGAGTTCTCTTTAAAGGGTCTTTTCTCCGACACCAACGTCGTTTTGACCTAGACTTCGCCTTCAAGGTTCCAAATCGTCAGTATAGAGTCTTGGAATAGAAGAGAGCACAAACATACTCTCCATGTTGGCTCCTCCTTTTGAGCCTTTCGAGAGGGGAAGTAAGAAGTATCTTCCATTGAAGTAAGTTTTGGAACTCAATGTCAGATTGAGAATTGTCTTTCAATCTGACAAACAGCCCAGAATATTCAACTGGTTACCAGTCTTCGAAATATCTCAAGGAGCAAAATACCCGGGTCTTCGCTCAGAAATGTTTCACGAAAAAGTGTCGAATGAAGCCTTCAACCCCTCAAAGATATGGTTCCTAGCAGCCAAAATAATCCAAAGTCCCTCGAAACGAAGTAGAAGAGATGAAGAAGAAATCCACATGATTCTGCGCCATAAATTCACTCATCGGATCTGCCCATCATATGATGAGGGGAAAGGTGGGCGGGGAATTTTTCTTAAAGTGAATCAGATGAATGAAGTGCTCGGAATTAAGGAAGTCAAGATGCATGATGATTTGAAACTCTCTACTCAATATTGAGACTTGGGATGAGAAGATATTATATATCCATTTACATGACATAAATACTATTAGGTATTTTCATTCTCCGACATTGTAACACGACAATGAATAAAATAAGAAAGAACCTCCAAATACGCACCTTGAGGTGACTTAATTACTTAATTCATGAAGGCTCAGAATTATAGTAGCGCGATCTGATTACTTAATTCACAAAAGCTCAGAATTTAAAGCATAGCACCATAACCCCACGAATTGGGATAAATTATCAAACTCGGTTGAAATGACCGTGACCAGTGATGCCCGTTTCAGTCACGGTTCATATGAATATTGAAATTTACCTACCTACCTACCTACTACCTACCTACCTATTACCTACCTACCTACTACCTACCTACCCAGATCCACAAATCAAACCAAATCAAACCAAATCAACCCTATCCTAAATGAACTAAAACACAACATAAAACCCCCTCTCTTCTTACCCTCCTACTCTATATGATGCCCAGATAAATAGAATTACGCTAGTCATATCATTCATATCATCATCTACTATATATCAAAATATTGAAAAAAATAATGTTTTAAATTCCCTCTACCGTATAAATAGTTCTATTACTTTTACTGATTAGTGATCTTTGATATAATTCCTATATTTTTTCTATATACTAAGGTGATGCGTGTTAATAGATACTCCTCTTTTCTCTCCTTCTAATAGTAGATACTATAACTACTATAACTACTATAACTACGCTTTTCCATTCTATTTCTTTTAAACCTAAGTTAATTAAAAAAACCAAAAAAAAACTAAATTCGAGTTTACTCTGGGTATTGTTAAAATAATTTTGATAATTAATTCTCATTTTTATTCTTATTATATTACATTATATCGCATCATGTGGCCGCGATATATGGATTAATAATCAATTATTAATGATCTTTCGAATTTTCCAAAAAAAAAAGAAAAAAAAAGAGAGAAAAGAAAAAGTTAAGGAGACTGCTACGGTAGATTTAGAAGAGTGCCTGAGATATTAGGCACCTCTCCTCGCTAGATCGAACAGCCGTACGGCTGTACTATCTACCTTACGCATATAAAGGGCGAAGCCCTTTATAGGTGTAAAGGCTCTTCAGCAATATACTACATTTCAACCTCGATGCTTTAGCATCGTGACAGAGACTCTCTCGGATTTATTTATTTCTATTCTGTCTCCTTTGTTTATTTTTATAATCTATATATAATCTATATATAATCTATACTAAACTTTATCTAAACTTTATCCAACCGTGACCAGAAGCGTAACACTTTTTATTCGATTCTACGTCCTCCCTCATCCCTTATATAACCATATCCAAACCTTATTCCAACTAAACTAAACCTTATCTAACCATCACCGTACAAACCTAACCAAACCCGTAAAAACCCAATCTAACCTAACTATAACCATAACCGTGACATATCCTATCCTAGCATTTCTAGCATTCTAGCATTCTAGCA